GATGGATGGATGCATGGATGGGTGGATGGGTGAATATATGCATACTATTTCCTGTACAACCAGCAGAACTGTGGGCTGGGTCTGGCCACTGTGCCCACCTCACCTGCAGACAGAGCTCTGCAGAGCAGTGCACACATCCGGCCTAGGTCAGGACCCACAAGAGAGAAGGTCGCCTTCCTCTGCCACGCTCGGCTGCTGCGCGCTCATCTACCTCACTGGCCCTGGTCAGCATCGCCAGGACTTCCCAGGACCTGTGGTTGTAAAGTAAGCATCAGACGGTGAGTGTGCGGCAGAAGAACTTAATATAACAAAGAGTGAAAGAGCTGCTGAACATCATTCAGTGGAAAACAGTTACCTGGAAGCCAAAGGAATCTTCAAAGGCAATTAGCAATGGTATTTTAAACACAAGCCAAGACCACTTCAAATTTTATATTGAAGATGTCAGTTTAAATTCTGAGTCTGCTGCTGCTACAAATTTTATCATCCATATCAGACTTTACGTGCCATTATGAATAAAGATTTTAAAAATAAGTTACCTTTTCGATACAAGCATTGAACTACGATCTAACATTCTCTATCAATATTTATGTATAAAATAATGGCATTTATCTATCAGAATTGAATAATACGGATATTTTAAAACCGAGTGATATGAGTTGGCTTTGTAACCAAATTTTCAAAGATAACAGATGACCAAAACAACTTCAAAAGCTTCAATTTGCAAAGTTCTACTGTTATAACCACCTTGGCAATGTATAAAGTAGAAACAGCTGTGAGATTTAGGGAACGTCAGCACATTAGTCTACAAACACCTCTGGAAGTAATGCCCCAGCCTGCGTGGCTGAAGCAGCAGCGGGGTTTCTTCCAGCGCTGTGGAGACCAGCTGTCCAGGACAGAGGTGTGGCATCTCTCTTTCCGAGGGCTCTGAGGGCAGATGTCCAAGTTTCCCTGCTGCTCTCACACATGCTTGACTTCACCCCCTCTCTTCCTACATGTTCTTCATGCTCTCTCCTCCGTAAGGACAGCAATGACACTGGGTCAGGCTCAGAACAATGACCTGGCTTTGGCTTCATAACTCCTGTCCAGGTCCTGTCTCAACTACAGTCACGTGCTGAGCTACAGGGCCAAACCCTGCAAGGGAAGAAGTTAGAGTGGATCCAACTCAATGCACAAAGCACAGAACAAGCCAATGCGGGGCTGTGATCTTTAGGGGAGAAACATCACGATGCCCCAGCACTGGAGGCAGAGCTAGGGAGGCTGCTTGGGCTGGCCACATCTCCACTCTGCCTTCAGCACTGGCTGAGCACTGCTCTGGGAACATAAACGGTGAACCTTGCCTGAGGGACCCAAATCTCCATGACAAGGGAGACAGTGAGACTCACAGACCTTGGTGGTGCAGTAGCCTGTTCAGCTGGCTTGAGGTCTCCTCTTTCACCTCCCAAGGAGTTTGGAAGGGATGACACTGGTCCCTTCTGACACTTCAGCCTCTGAAGTTCTGGATGAGAATCCACTAGGTCTCCTGGAGCAGCCCAGGAAACCCAGCTTGTGTTTGTTCCTTCAGGTTTGCCTCAGGTGCTTCCTGCTGGAGCAGAAGAGAGAGCCTGGGGCATCCTCGCACCCCTTCCTGCCACCGAGGGCCTGGCAGAGAAAACCTGCTGTACACCCCCTCTGTGCAGTCACCATCACGGTGTCTCCTCTGCCAGCTGCAGTCGCCAAGCCTCTCAGACTCCCACCACTGGGGTTGGCTCTGGGCCAACAGGTGAGCATCAGCCCAACAAGCAGGACACCATGTTCACAAGTGGTTCCCTGTGCATGTTCATATGGGGATGGGGAGATGCACACTGAAGAGTGTTTCTTTTACATGTAAACAGTGCAATTGCTCCCCACCTCTGACATCTACTTAGACTCAGGCCTCTGTAGTGAAGCTGTCAGCTGATTCTTTCTCAGAATATTTAGTGTGGAATTGTGTCCTGTGTGCTTTGATCTCAGTTTTCCTTGAGTCCAAGAAATCAAATCTGGGATCTTGATCACTATATGTCTGGGTGTAGATTTATTTTGGTTATGGCTAGTTGGACTTCTATATGCCTCACTTACCTAGATGTCCAATTCTTTTTCCAGGCTTGGGAAATTTTCTGCTATTACTTCCACAAATAGTCTTTTTATGTCATTTGTGCTGACACCTGCTGTTTCATTGATACCTATTAATCTTACATTGTTTTTCGTGGCTTCATCTTGCAGCTGTTGAATTGTTATTTCTTTGTTTCTTGTTATTTTTATGAGATCCTTCCTTTCACAGTCATTCACAACAATGCTGTCTTCAAGATCTGGAAGTCTATCTTCAGCATCCTTGCTTATGGATAGGAAAAACTAACATTGTGAAAATGGCCATACTCCCAAAATTGTTGTACAGATTCAATGCAATCCTAATTAGAATTCCATTAATATACCTCACAGATCTAGAGAAAAAATTCCTAAAATTCATCTGGAACAGATCAGAAGATTCAGACACAGATACAAACATACTCAAAGACTTCATTTTTGACAAAGGGGCCAAGCATGTTCACTGGAAGAAAGATAGCCTCTTTAACAAATGGTGCTTGAAAAACTGGCTTTCCACATGCCAAAGACTAAGGCTAGACCCATGTATATCACCATGCACTAAACTGAAATCAAAATGGATCAAAGATCTAAATATCAAAACAGAAACACTAAATCTACTGGAAGAGAAAGTAGGTAAAAATCTCAATGACATAGTGGTAGGCAGGGAGTTCATGAACAAGAGCCAAACTGCACAAAGAATCAACAACTGGTATCTCCTCTTATTCAAAAAATTTGCCCATCAAAAGAAATCACCAATAGAGTAAAAAGAAAACCCACAAATTGGGAAAAAATTTTATCCAACTTCTCCTCAGACAAAGGACTCCTATCTAGAACATGTAAAGAATTTTTAAAAGTCAGGCCCCAAAATTTCAAAGACCCAATCCAAAAATGGCATCTGAGATGAACACACACTTCTCAGATGAAGAAATACTAATGGTAAATAAATATATGAAAAAATGTTCAATATCAGCAGTCATTCAAGAAATGCAAATTAAAACAACACTGAGATTTCATCTCACCCCACAAAGAATGGCTATCATTAAGAAATCAACCAATGACAAATGCTGGAGAGGCTGTGGGGGAAAAGGAGCCCTTCTCCACTGCTGGTGGGAGTGTCAGTTGGTGAAACCACTGTGGAAATCAATTTGGAGATTTCTCACAAAACTAGGATTAGAAGTCACACTTAACCCAGCTATTCCCCTTCTGGGCATTTTTCCAGAAGAATTAAAGACATCATACCACAGCGGTATATGTGCATCCATGTTTATAGCAGTGCAATTTGTCATAACTAAATCTTGGAAATAACCCAAATGCCCATCAACTGAGGAATGGATAAAAAAGATGTGACATTTTTATGCAATAGAGTATTACTCAGCTATAAAAAAAGATTTAAAAAGATAAATTCAAGGTTTTTATAGGTAAATGGATGCAATTAGAGACCATACTCATAAGTGAAATAAATCAGACCCGCATGTGTAAATATCACATTGTCTCCCTGGTGTAAGAACATTAAAGAGTAAATAAAACCCAAAATGTACAATAGATAATA